TCTTGACTCAAGTAAAATACTAATCTAAGGTCAAGATGAGGAGAGAAATGATGGAGATGAATGTCTTTAGTAAAATAACCAATAAATTTTGTCAAGCTAAAAAAAGATATAAATGGGCATGTCATGTTCATAAGTTAGAAGTCGTAAACATAATTAAGATGGTGATCCTTCCCCAAAGAGGTCTAATACATTAACACAGAATCAATTAAATTCCCAACAGACGTTTTGTAGCTATACACCAACTTGATAACATACTTCACCAAAGATGTTATGACAAATAAGCATAGGAAGAGGTATTTAATGTTAAGAGCTATCAGACACATGTAAATTAAGACCTCAGTGATATATATTACTATACATCTATTAGATCAGCTGAAATAAAAAATAATACCAAATTATGATTAGTACAGTGATAAGAAAGATCAGCAGATTCAAGTGATGCGAGAATAAACTTCACAAAGTTTTACATCAGTCTTTCATCTCATCTTCACCCACTGATAAGCTACCTAGATGTTACTTCAGCAGAGGCAGTAAAATTGTGATTTGCTATACTTATTGTGCAAAAGAAGTGAACTACCTCTCATCAAACTAGGGCTATTTGTACTGAAATCATTTGTACAAAAAGTAGAATAAAATGATGAATTATTTTTATTGCTGTCAGAGTATGTAGTTGATTTTCTACGTACAAAAAATGAGTTTCTTTCTTTGGGTGTGTGCAAATCTCTTGGTATCCTTATTTAACTCATGAATTTTTATATATTTGATGTATTTTCTTCATTAACAATTTTATTTCTGACATTATTACATTAGTCTGTGATAGTTTCTTTGCTTTCTGACACAAGAAAAGGATAAGATCTCATGTTATTTCCTATCTGAAACCTTTAATAATTCCTCCAAAGTACACCTAGTACTTTTTATGTAGTATAGTCTTTTCGTATGTTGTTTTGTATTTTTACTACAGACTACTTTAAAGGAAAATTGTTTCCTTTAATATTAATTTAAATTAGTTTATAATGTTACTTAAAAATGAACAATAGTGGAGCAAGGTAGAAATATATCCATTAGGGGCCAGGGATTTAGCCCAGTGGTTCCGCTGCGTGCCTCACAAGTGCAAGGGCCTGAGTTCAATCCCCAGTACCAAAACAACAACAACAAAAACCCCAAATATATGCTTTAGGCTAATTAAGCTTATATAATTATATAACCAAACAACATAACCAATAAATAAAAGCAGAAATGTAATGTAATGCACTATGTTGTTTTGCTGAAACTAAATTGCAACTCACCACATGAATATAACTCTTCCTTCATTTTGTGTACAGGATTATTTACTTCCCTCACCACTGTAAATATCCAGAAACTTTATTACATACAGAGATGGTTTTCTCAGGACATTTTGATTGACTGGATATTTAGAGAAAAAGGAGCAAGGATGATCTTCAGGTTTTAAAATTTATCTATCAGAGCCATATTATTTACAAAACTCTAGCTCTTTTATTCCAAATCACCCCAAATCTCAGCAGTACTATATGGTTTCAATGTGCAATACAAATATAAATTTGAGTGCTGATAGTGTCATACAACAGTAATCAATTATAAAATGGTCTTCTAGATGAACTAGAATATGATTGTCATTTATGTTAGATTATTTCCTTGGTAGTTGTCTACATAACAATAAAAGCAATGAGGGGAAGATAGTTTTCATAGATGAGGTTTATGATAAAAGAGAATAAAGCTGATAACAAACTATGACTCCAGAATCACATGAGGAAGAAAAAACAGAAATATTTGGTTTCTAAGTGTACCATAGGAAACCACTATTAATTGGCTAATATTACAGGGATAAGCTGCAAGAGTGCACTATGTACAAAATAAAGCAAGGTATAAATTATAGTTGATAGCATCTAATTAATATTACTGGTCTTGAAATTAATATGAAACTAGAAGAAAATAAGAAAGCATGAATATAAAAACAATAGTTTTTTTAATGACATAAATTGTCAAGCTTAAAGGTTCATTATAGTCAGTTTCCTTCTTAAAATAAATATTGGCTAAATAATTAAAGAATATATATTGGATGTTCTTCCTCATTGTTTACCAGTTAAAGATTCCCACACCTCTTCTATCCTTGCCTGGGTATCATTTCTGACTTCGAGCGAGAATTGGCAGCAGTGCTTTAGCAAAAGAGCGAAATAATCAGTTTTGTTTGTTCAGTTATGCCAGTGAACTCTGTGGGGATGTAGGCCCTATCCTGTAAAGGGTATCAAGTAGTATAAAGAAATCTGTAGTAGAAAAATGAATCTGAGGGCCGGGGATTTAGCTCAGCAGTTCGGTGGCCTGCCTTGCAAGCGCAAGGACCTGAGTTCAATCCCCAGTACCAAAAAAAAAACCAAAAAACAAAAAAAAGAAAAATGAATCTGAAAGAAGATGTGGTTTTCTATAAAATGGAATACTACTCAGCCATAACGAATGAAAAATTAGATTCATTCATAGGAAAATGGATGCATTTTGAGGATATACTCCTAAATGAAATAAATAAGTCACGTCACACATGTGTAAATACCGAATAGTTTCTCTGGTGTGAAAAACTATAATAGTATCTAAGATCCTAATGAGATAATTGACAATGTGAAATAGGAAGAAAAAGGCTAAAGGTGTAGGGAAAGTGGGAAGGGTAGGGGAAAGATAATAAGGGAAAAGAAAAAATATGAGAAAATGAAAAAATGGAAATGAAGAGTTTGTAAAGAGGGAGGGGAGAAGGGGGTGAAGGGAGGGCAGGGACGAGGGAAAACAATGAGAACCAAGACCTGTCATGGAAAGGTACAAGATCCCAATATTGAATGTAACTGTACCGTATACCTAAAATGTACCAATAAACAATTAAAAAAAAGAAAAATGAATCTGAAAGGTATTACAAGAGTCCCATTTGGTGAGAGGCTCAACTGAAGTGGTGTAGGGAGTTTCAATTTGATATCTCTTGTTTTGATTTGTGGATTTTTAATTTCATAATTTTGTGAGTGAACACACACAGAAACTAGTTAGCAGAGTATAACAGAAATACAGGGAAGAAAGGATGTGCATCTGAACAAAGTAATAATATTAAGAACTGAAAAAAGTGGTCAACTCCACAAATATTAGGGAGCTAGAATTCTAAGAACAGTTTGACCAGATATCAGGTTTTAAACATTATTTGTCTACCATTCACATGGGCAATTGATAAAACAAATGCAACATCTTCTTAACCTTTTTAGTATTCTGTTGGAACTGTCACTAGAGAAAAAGTCCATTAAGTAATATTGGCAGGGCATACAATAGAGAAAAATGTGATGTAAGGCAAGGCACTCATAAAAATGTTTCTTCATGTGAGAAGGAAAATAATAGTGTAAATAAATGACAGCTATGGAGCCACTGTGGAAGGCCGAATCTGGACTGTTGCCTTTTTTATTACAGCCTGTAAATAGTAATGGTTTTCACATTTTAAGTACTTGAAAAACTATTCAAAAAGAATATTTTTTCAATACATGTGAAAATGAAATAAAATTCAAGTGTCATTGTCTATAAAGTTCTACTCGAACATAGGCTTATTTGTGCATATATTGTCTATGGCTGATTTTTGGGCTACACTGGCAGATTCCAGTTGTGGTGACAAGAGACTTTTTCTCCCTCAATAACACCCTATTGGCCTGGGGGGGTAGCTCAGTGGTAGAATGCTTGTCTGTCATGCATAAGGCCCTATGTTAGATTCCCAGTCCTCTAAAGAAAGTAAAAAAATTACTATTTATTTACAAAACTAAAATATTTATTGTGTGGCCCTTTACAGAGAAACTTTTCCATCTCCTGGTCTGCTATGAGACAGATACTGTGCTCAGACTTTCACATTTTGTCTTCTATAATTTTTTCTCAAAACTGCTGGTGACACAGTAAGTTATAAAGACCTGGAGAAACTAGATAATCTAGCACAGCAACATATTTGATTTGTAAATACTCAAATTATTTGCACAAAGTTAATGAGTCACCTTTTCCTCAAAGTATTCACTTCCTTTCCCTCTTTAACTCTGTGTATTACACATAATTATACAATTAGATTCTCAGAACATAAGACCTTCTGCAAACGCAATCTAGTCCCATCCACCTTTCTGTCACATCTTATTAATCTTTTCTCCACCACTCATCCACTGAAATTCTCACTGTTTTCCTATTTTAGGTAAAAAGAAGCTGAAAGTGACACACTCACGAAATACCGAATTGTCTACACTTAGGAAATATAAAAGTAATGAACGGAAGGAGGGAGGAAAAGTACAAAACAGGTTTGATTGGTAGAGAGGGATACCTCTGATCTGTCCACGCCTGATTTGTCAAATCCTCCAGGGTATGGACGATATATTAACGCCAGCCGACTTCTATTACAGGTTCAGTAAGTGGTCATTTCGTTATTGATTCCCCTCGCTCTCTTTTTTCAGGTCCCTTGGGAAACGTGGAAAACAAAATCTTCCCACGGAAACTCCTCAGCGGCGCGCCAAGATCTGGGCTTGCGCACTTTGAGGCAACCCGCTCCGCAGCCCAGGCTGCAAGTAAGCGTGCGGGGTCTCCAAGCACAAACCCAAAGCGCCTTTCTCAAGCTCTGTCGCCAAAATTAATAGCTTTTGTGAGAGG